TATAATTAAACTATCAGTTCCATTACAGCTCAGATCTCCTGCTGTAAATCCATCTCTGATCCATTTTTTGGCTCCTGAAACATTGGAGAGGCTTCAATGACCATTAGGAAAATTTCTTGGGCCAAGAAAATTAAGCGGCTTATGATCATCCTTAATTGGATATTTGTCACTACTGGGCAGATCACTCTGAGGAGTAACATATTGGAGAGACTATATGATGCAACATTGTTCCAAATTTCTTCACACTCTTGCACCCTACTTGAAAGTGGGAAAATTCAGTCCAAAGTTCAGTTTGGACTTCTGCAAATTCTGTTGCAAAGAATTTGGGCTGTCCTCATATATGTGGAGGGGAAGTGATGGGTACTAAATTTAGTCCAGTAAGCGACTACCACATCTCATGAATGAATAAATGTTAAAAGTACTGGACAGTGGACAAGTAGACTACAAATGAGAGACTGCAGAGCGATGTAATGGTGGTTAGGTGGAGCTGTATGTCACCAGTGGACATGTGGTACCTGAAGCTTTATTTCTGGATGATGCTCTGAGGGGCAGCATGTGGGGGCGGGCTGTAATATCAAGAAAAAAATAATCATTTTTAGTTAGATACTCAATAGGTCCCTTTGTAACGTCACATCAGAATAATTTTTAGTGACTTTAAATTGCACATGTTCTGGTCTATGATTTACATACATATGCAGGCTGGTATGCAGGAGGAATAAAATTATTTTCCATGTTTTTGAAGTCTCAGTTGGAAAGGTCAATTTTTGTGCCATCAAATGACACCTATTCACCAATAACTGAGGTCAGTGATGCTCAATTCAGTTTGCACCAAAAGCAATTGGCTCCAGTTCTCATTGCAGGTGAGGGCACAAGACCTGGATGTCAAAGGAACAATGAGGACAATTTCTGACAACAACAAGGTGGCATTTTGCACAATATGGCACCCACACCTTTCTGATGAAGTTTAGGTCGTTAGTGTCAAAGGAACAGTCCTGGTTCATAAAGATGGTTTATGTTTTTAGGGTGCCGATAATTATAGTCCAAGAACATCGCTGCAGCAATTTCTCAGAGATGCTTTTTTAACCTAATCATCATTTGTTGTTTAATGAGTGATCATACTCCATCATACAATCAGGAGTGGGACTGATCATCTATGGTTCGATAGTATTCAGCACTACCCACATCTCCTCTGATAACAAAGCAACCCATGCCAGTCCAGGATATGGATAATTTCCAGCCTTGGGTGGACAAGTGACATTTAAGGAAAGCTCAAAGGAATTGTAGGATCAAAGGATTGTGACTACAATGGTATTGCATCAACTCATAACTACGCTCCTTTTAAATATAATGGTTTGCTCTTCAGAGAATTCAATCGTTGAACAGAACCGATTCTCTTGATTTTTATATTCTTTCCTTGCTCAATTTTTAATTTGAGCTTTCTAATTGAGCTGTCTAATAAATAACAGTTTTTAGCATTTTTACTCACCTTTTATCTTTTACCTCCCAATCCCACCATCTAATTTGGAAATTTGAGCAACATTGAAACAATTGCCATTTGAACACTTATTTTATTGTCTGAAAATACTGTAATAAATATTTCAAAATAGATGGAATTATACTATCAGGCCAAGCTAAGGCTTGTTTCTCGGGTGTGTAAAAGCAGAGGCTACAAATCAAGCAAATGGAATGGTTCTTCCAGCAATGGGATGCATTCAACTCAGGCAGATTAAAAATTGAGCCCAAAACTCTGCTGACTTCAATTGTACGTAATGGAGCATAAAATAGTCAACAACAATTTCTACACATCTGTCCATGGTCTACCTCACTTCATTTGGCACTGATGTCTCAATTAGTACCATCTGTTAAATGCATTAGAGTGAAAATTTCAACAGATTTTTTTCTGACCAGTCAAGGGTTAATCAATATAATTGGAATCAGCCTAGCAGGCATTGGTTGTTGAAAATATCGAAAGTGTTTGAAGTGTTGCCTCATTTTAAATTTGATATGAATTGTTGATTATCAGATTAGAACTACAATATTTTGAGGAGTTTCCACAAATGTTCCAAATATTCAAAGAATATCTTCTCTTTTAAATCTCTACTGCCAATGGTAAATTAGCTAATCAACCTACTTAGGGCAACCCACTTAAATAATTCACTAATTAAATTCATTTGCTAATCCTGCATTTTATATAATATCTTTGAGAACTGAGAAGTTGTATTTCAACTGAAAGTTTTAAGCCAGTTTTCAGTCAATAGACACCTGGACTATGGTCTCTCTAGAAATTTGAGTAGGAACATCTTGGACCCAAGTCTGTGATACATCTGTAAAATACTTTTTTTTATATATATAATAAGTCAAGGAATGCCAAAAAAAGTAAAACTGAAATAATTTATTTAACCACTAGAGCACCACAAAATTTGCAGGCTTCACAGACATACCATGTGTTAAAATACATAGTAATTAGCCAACAAATATGTATGTTTGACCAAAATGTACGTTTGAAAGATAAAACAAGGAGAAAGCACCCCCCCCCCCACCCCAGTGGTAAGATCATCAAATGTCCAACATTTACTAAGGATCAAGAAATAAGTGTACAATATTTAAAAACAATAGTTTCAAAGACGTCAGCATTACAAGAGGAAGCTTAATACTAGTATCAGTGCAATCCTGAGGAAAAGAAATTTCATTCTAATGGGGCAAAAAAGACAGAAGGAAATATCGAGCAAAATACAGATTTTTTTTTCTAAAAAAAGCATTTAACATTTGGCTGCGTCCAGCGCAATCAAGTATAGTTCGACATTCTGGCATCCCATCTCCTTCTATTGGAGCTAAAAGACAAATTATTATGTCATTCATATATAAGACCACAAACCATCCTCAATGAATGACATTAATAAGAGTTTAACATAGGCTATCCCCAACAAAAGTGCTTACGACTGGCATTCCAGATGTCAGAAGCTATTTTCAGGTATTTATCTACAATGTATACTTTGTGAATTTCAAATGATGCTTAGAAGTGTTAGATTAGAGCTAAATTGAGGCCACTGTCTTCATGAAAATAGTATTTGGCAAACATCGTTTCATTTGTCTGACACAATTACCTCATAGATGCAAACCCAGCCAAAATGTATCATTGTGTCATTTGCAGGCAATATTACAATCATGAAGATGATGCATGGGTCTTCTTCTTTGCCAAATAAAAAAAAACAGTTGGCCAATGGCATTTTTCTTGAAGGCAATGGCCCTTTAAAATGATTTACTCTTTATATCCCAATGAACAATGAAAATCATATGGGAATTAGTTTAACAATTCAAAAAGATCTGAAATGAATAGACAGTATTATGAAACAAGTCACACGGTTTTATCATCTAGTATGATGAGCATCACAGAAGTAGGGGTTTCCAAATGATTTTAAATGAGTGTCCTATACACATTAGTGAGTCATGAGAAGTAATAAAGGGGATTTGGATATTTATTTTATTTAGACAACTACATCAGCACATTTTCCACTGTATATCTTGTGGAAGCTGTCAAAGGTCACTGCTTATTTCCATGAGTTAACTTGTGAAATTTTAGCACACAGTTTCTTGCATATTTTTCTAGTGACCTTATGTTTACTTTACACTTCCCAACTGAATGGAAATAGTCACAACAGGGACATTCCCATACTTTAACATTGTAAAAACCTTTAGAAATTATTATGAAATGGCATATGAATTAAAATATTGAAAGGAATAAAGGGTCTATGTTTGATCAAACTTGGTTTTTCAAAATCCCCATGTAGGTCAATCTTTCCATCCCCATGTTCATGTTGTCCTTCTCAGCTTGGAGGTGCAACCATTTAGGCAACGCCCTGCTATTCTCCAGCCCCACCGTAAATGCTATTCCATTGTCAATCACCAGAAACATCCCAAGATCACGAAAGCAAGATGTAAAAGTATCTGCATCCTCTACCTGACCCCAGTACCTTTTCACAGACTCAGAGCACAGACGAGGTAATCAGCCCAATGTGCCTGCTGGTTCTTTGAAGGAACTATCCAATTAGTCTCAGTGCTCTGTGACTTTCCCTTTTTATCCTACATGGGATTAAGCATTCTAAGCATGTATTGTCAATAAGGAGTGATCTAGCTACAGTTTGTAGTCACTCTGTAGTCCCTTAACAGGAATTTAACTTGGATCTCCTCATGAAGAGGTAAATTTGGCTATCATATCCTGCTGGGGACTGGGCTGTGAAAATTGAGTAATTAACTTAGATATCCTGATCAAAATTGGACCATTTTTATAGACCAGGAGTGGAACGTGGATTTCCTGAACAAGAAACAACACTTCAGTGTCATAGGAAAGGGGAATATTTGTGGTTCACTGTCCTTTCACCTGTGGCTCTCAGAAGACATACCCCATGCCTCACCTTCCTGCAGAATGTTTCCAGAACTTCCCTTTCCCATTGCTTTACAGTGAGAAAAAGAAAGGAAAATGTCTTGGGAAAGAGGACTATCCTAGTATTCATAAAGTTTATTAAGGGGTTCTATTAAAATCATAGGAATTTCAATATAGTTTATATATGGAATGAATACTTAGCCCTTCAAGCATGCTCCACTATTCAATAAGATCGCAACAGATCTTATTGTAGCCTGAACTCTACATTCCTGCATACAACTGATAATCTTTCATCCCCTTGGTTTCTATGGAACTACGAAACCTGGTTTTCTTTCTCCTTCCTGTGAGGAAATACTTGGTCTTGGCTTAAAAGAGAAAGTTTACCATGTGAAGTGCAGCAGACATGGGCCCACATTTTCTCATTCCATATTGCAACATGTTATAGCAATCTTAGTGTGATCCTGGACCAAAAGGGTATTGTCTTATTATTATTATTAGCCAGACCTCAGCCTAAAAAAGAAATCATGTATTCCAATCAGATGGATGTTACAGCCTGGGACTGCCCTTACAGATACAATATTTCAAGCTTGGTGTAAACAGAAGCATCACTTTCACATTGTTGTGCTATTTTCTTTATTTTTAACAATACTGTACACATTTCAATTTTGTGTTGCTAACTGTTCACTTATAATTAAGTGATAACAGAAAAAAAAAACAAGTCATTCAAAAACAGAAGTTATGAGCAGGTTTGGAGTGGGAATTTTGTAAATTGGCTGATGCTCAATTTACAGGGAGGATAAAGCCAGTATAATTTAGCAGATTATCATAAATGGTGTTTGGGAGAAAGGGGTATTTCCTCAACTGCTCCTACAGATGAAGTCGAAATATGGAACTCCAGAAACAGAGACATCAAAGGTCATAAGCCCCTGTATTTTGCTCTCTGAATTTTTTGTTGAAAATTTACAAATGTATCAGCTCCAGATTTGGAGCAGTCTGCTTCTTATGAGCAGTCTGGCTCAGCAGGAGTGCAGATTGAAGACATGGCAGAAAGATCAATGCGCCTGAGGCGCTGCATTTCTGTTTTTAATGTCTTGAATATTATGAGTCCACAAATTGTGCTTGCTGACCTCTGTAACCTGTTATCTGATCTATGCTGGAGTGCAGCTTCACAATTTCTACTATCTGGAAATGTACTTACAAATTTGTGAAAACCAATGTCTGGTGGAAAATATCAGCAAAGGTGCCTTAGAAAGAAAGATTTACCATAATGTAGTGAGTTCAATTTATGGCATTCCTGATATTACAGTCATTGATTTACGCTGGAAAATGAAATCAACCATGTCAATCTCTATGAATGATTTTCCAATCAGCACCACTGCCGAATAAATCTCTGCTCCAGAAGCAGAGGTGACAAATTCCAGGTAATGTGCTTATGAATTTGTTGAAGCTAATCCAGAGAGTAAAATATTTGGGCATAAGTGGAAAGGGCATCAAATCTAACAGTCAATCCCTTTTTTGAAAAATCAATCCCAACTTTCAACCCTCTCACCATGTCACTCAATCTCTTTTCTCTCCAGGAATGCATCTACTTCATTGGACACATCTCCTATAAACATGCTAACCTTTGGGTTTGAAGTGCTCCACCTGATGTTTCTTCTTATTTGTAATATGCACATTTTTAAGTACAAATTTTTATTATCAGCATTCCTTTGACCAATACCATACATGACTGATAGCAAGTGGACACTTGCTTGCTCATTACAAAGCTTGCTGTCATTTCCCATCACTTGACCCAATAACACATCCCCACAATGAACATATCAGTAATACATTTGACTTTGTTGGTGCCCTAACAAAGGAGTATACATAGGATGCCAATTGCATAACAATACACAAGAGATCAAGTAAGGCACGGGACCTGTACAGCATTTCCACTAAGTGGGACTCTTTTTATTTCACATATTAACACTTACAATTTTTCCAGTGTTTTTGTCTTTTAAATTTAAAGGTTCTGTGTCTCATCTATCACACTAAATTAGTAGGTGAAGGATAGGAATAAAGCCTTCAATGTACATTTTATTTCCTTTTGCTTCTGTTGGTAGTTAAACGAAAAAAAAATGTTCCAAATAGTTCAAACTAGTACCATGTATTGTTCTTTTGTTTAACACTGATGAACCTGGGATTTTCAGGGAAGTTGTATTCATTCTTAGCTGCATTTGCAAGACTTAACTACCATGTTCGAAAGGTGTTCAATTTTGGGAACTTTGCCAACGAAGTAGAGAATAGTGAGTGGCTCCAGGTCTTGAGAAACACAACATGGGGAGGCAGAAGCTTCAGGGTTTATATTGTTGTACAGACTAAGTATCTGAAATAAAGAAAAATATCATTTAGTCTGCCAAATAATCTTTTTGAAAAACAGAGTCAGCTGCCCTGGCGTCATTCTGGTAGGAAGTTGACATGTTGCTGAAACAAAGAGTGAATGGTCACTTGAGAAGTATCTTAAATAAATCCTGCCATACTGGGACAAAGGCAGTTTTGCAACTTGACCATTGACCCGTTGAATAAGCAAAAGAGAATTGTTATGCAATTTTCCTACCATGTCAGATTCTGAAATATGATTTTATGGTAACATCACAGAAACATTCTACCAATAAAAAAGATACCACATACAGGGTGTTCTTGACTTTTAAAGAACACTCAACCCTATTGATGGTCACAGATGGCAGTGAAAATATTTAATATAAATCCATGGCAATGTGTGAAATGCTGAAGTAAATTTTGCCATTACTACAGTATGTCACCTTTTGGCATCGATAAATATTTTGACTGTCTCCTAGGGATAAAACAGAGCTGTGTTATATCTCTAATTCCTTTACTTCTTTACCTAAAAAAATTATTAAGTGAACTGCAAGTGGTTCTGCTGATTGCGCTCAAAATGAGTTGTTGCTCAGGGCTTCAATGTAATTGAAATGACTGCCAAGATACGACTGGCTCAATGGGTTTGACTGCTACTATCTTAACCTACCCATAGGATGAGATTTAACACCCCAGAATTTCTGCTTATCAACTTCAAAATGGTTTTACAAAACTAGTGCAAGATAAACCAATTAAATAGGCAAAAAAAACTGAAAGGACTGCAGATGCTGCAAATCTGAAACAAAAACAAAAATTACTGGAAAATTTCAACAGGTCTGGCAGCATCTGTGGAGAGAAATCAGTTAACATTTTGGATCCAGTGACTTATTCAGAACAATTAAATGGACAACCAGCTGTTTTAAAATAAAAACATTTTGGGAAATGTTACAATGCCTTCGGCATTGTTTGCCTTCATCTTCAATGAAAACTAGTTGTGAACTAGTATCAACTTTCAAGGAATAAGGTGAAACAGATATTTTCTTGAACAGAAATATTTCCGATAATGGAAACTATCGGAATAATAGAAAGTAAAAGGAACAAAAATAGAAATTGCTGGAAAAACTCAGCAGATCTGGCAGCATCCATAGACAGAAAGCAAAGTTAATATTCCAAAACGTTAAGTGTGCTTCCTCTCCACAAATGCTGCCAGACCTGCTGAATTTTTCAAGAAATTTCTGTTTTTGGTTCAGATTTCCAGCGTCCGCAGTTCTTTTGGATCTTTGCTAAGCAAGTATGAGTATTTGTCTGACAACAATGTGAATTAGAGGTGCTCTTCTACAGGAAAATTATAGAACGGATCAACTGCTACAATGGAATATTAGAGATAACAAGGTGTAGAGCTGGATGAACACAGCAGGCCAAGCAGCACCAGAGGAGCAGGAAGGCTGATGTTTCGGGCTGCACAGGATCAATGTGCAGGGTTACCCTACTGTATGGAAACAGTGTGAGGTACGCTACTGGTTAAGAACAGTGTACAGATAGTTAATGTTGTACAGGAACAGTTTGAAGTGGGTACACAGTTGTATGTGAACAACATGGAATGAGAATACTGTTGTATTGGAGGTCTGTGGAATTCATTTCTTGTACATGCATGGGGCAACAGGGTGGCATGGTGGCTCATTGGTTAGCACTGCTGTCTCACAGCACCAGGGACCTGGTTTCAATTTCAGCCTTGGACGACGTCTGTGTGGAGTTTGCACATTCTCCCCATGTGTGTCTGGGTTTCCTATGAGTGGTTTGGGTTCCTCCTATGGTCCAAAGATGTTCAGGTTAGATGGATTGGCTGCACTAAATTGCCCATAGTGCCAAGGGATATGTAGGTTGTGTGGATTAATCATGGGAAATGCAGGGTTACAGGGAATAAGGTAAGGGGGAATGGGTCTGGGTGGGATGCTCTTTGGAGGGTCAGTGCAGACTCAATGGGCTGAATGGCCTGATTCTATGAACACAGTGCTTTAATAACATTTCATATAATGGATTGGTTGAAAGTGTTATGTTATACCAATAGTCCTAATAATTATGCTAATAACAGTTGTAATAATTGGTCTGCAGCCTCAGATACGTAGGATGAGAGTACCAAGGGTAAAGATTTGACTTTTTTGCTGTTCTCTCATTTGGCTAATTGAATGCATTACTGTCTGAATTGCATTGTCAAGCATCCAGTTTTCCAACTGCATTGTGGTTTCTCACTACATATTTTGAGCCCAGAACAGTTAAATTTACAGAACACTGTGCAGATGAAAAGTGATACTGCTTCTAGCCTGACAAAGCTTGCTAATTCAAGAAAAGAATTTCATAGAAATCGGGCCAAGGTGGACCACACCCCGACTCTTTTCTCCTTCAAAAACAAATCTTCGGATTTTAGATGATAAAATTGTGTTTGCATTGCTCGATCCTCGTATTTCCATAGCATAACTGTTCATTTTTACACATCTTTAATCATTAAAAATGGATTGTAGAAAATATAAATGTGATAACATATGATGGTTGTTTTTCTAGTTTGGCGCAAATGTAATCAAACTGCATGACACAACTGCAATTTAACAGCAATGTAAAAGATAAAAAAATGTTTAAACTATTCAATGCAATAGTGGGATTGCCTTTGTACACTCACAAACAGCACTCACCCGGCTGTGTTGAGTATCTGAACTCCACAAGTAAGGACAGGCCCCAGCACAGAAGTTAGCCTGATAGCCCTTGGGTTCATGAATCCATTTCCACCCCAGGTCTCTCCGGAAATCAATGTATAGTGGGCGTAGGCAGCAGTTATCCTGTACGCTTCTGTTCAATGGACAAATATTCACATTTAAGTAACAGGCACTTTCTTTTTCAATTTCTGCTTTACTTCCCCCTTATCTCCTGAAGTTTCTGACTTAAGCAACAGTCTGCCTAAAACATGATTCCTTTAAGTATGGTTCTCAGGCTATGGGTGGGGCTGGAGAGGCTGGCATTTATTGCCCATCTCTCCCTGAACTTTCATACAACTGGTACAGCTGAATGCCTTATTGTACCACTCCAGAGGGCAGTAAAGATTCATCAATGTTGGTGTGGGGCTGGAGACTCAAATTAAATACAGAACAAAAATATTTTAAAGCGGTTTGTTTTTTTTTGAAATCTAGCAAGACTCAGCGGATAAACACATCAGTTCTGGAAAATTGTATAAGGCTATCAGCTCACTGTTTGACTGTAATAAAAGACAAATGACAATATGTTTGCAAAAACAGCGAGATAGAGGATAAATCAAAGGAGATTTCATCATTCCTGTACAAGGTGTTGGTCAGTACTCATCTTGATTATTTGACAGTGACCTTGTTGAGTGCAATTGGGCTGCTGTTTTTCCTACACTAACTGACTACATTGAGGAAGCTGATCTGAATGTATTCAATCAGGAATGCAATTGAAGCAGTAGTTTCCTAAATCCATGATTAAATTCAATACCTTGAGTTTAATGGAGGATCTCACTGAAATGTACTAGTTCTCCTCTGGATAGCTACTTTACATTTATTGTTTATATTTGCCAGCTTTGGAGGAACAGAAAATAATTTGCACAATCAGATATGTTTAAATAAAACATAATAAATAATTACAGTAAAATTATACCTTGAACCTGTCCCAAAATATTCTTTGGAAAAGCAAAACAATGCAGTTGCTCCAAAGGTATTTATTTGCATTTGTGCTAATCTGTTCCAGTACAGTTATAACACTGACATCTACCTAGCAATGTGGAAAATTGCCCAGCTTTGTGCAGTCCACAAAAAGTAGCACAAAATCAACCCAGCCAATGACTGTCCCCTCAGTCTACTCTCAATCAACAGCAAAGTGGTGGAAGGTGTCATTGACAGTGCTATCGAACATCACTTATTCAACTGCTTCCTGACACTCAGTTTGTGTTCCACCAGACCCACTCAGCTCCTGACTTCATTAAAACCTTGTCCAAACATGGATAAAAGAGCTGAAGTCCATAGGGAAAGTGAGAGTGACTGTCCTTGATGACAAGTGGGGTGGCACAGTAGTAAGCACTGCTGCCTCACAGCGCCAGGGGACCTGGGTTCAATTCCACTGTCAGGTGGCTGTCTGTATGGAGTTTACATATTCTCCCCATGTCTGCATGGGTTTTTGCTGGGTGCTCCAGTTTCCTCCCATAATCCAAAGCTGTGCAGGTTAGGTGGATTGGCCATGCTAAATTGCCCATAGTCTCCAAGGATGTGAGGGCTAAGTGAGTTAGCCATGGGAAATTGAGGGTTAAGAGATAGGGCAGGTCTGGCTGGGCTACTTTTCAGAGGGTTGGCGTGGACTTGATGGGCCAAATGGCCTGCTTCCACAGTGTAAGGATTCTATGATTCTATTCTAAGTGTGGCATCTGGTCAATCACCTCAGCTCCAGGACACCCTGAAGGAGTTCCTCATTGTAGTGACCAATGCCCAACTATCTTCAGCTACTTCATCAGTGACCTTCCCTCTATCAAAAGGTCAGAAGTGGGATCTTCATTGAAGATTATATCTTCAACAAGAAGGAATATAACCATTGTGCTTTGTCATTCAAAGGCATTACCATCACTGAGTTCCCCACAATCAACAATCTGGGGTTTACCACTGAGCAGAAACTGAACCGGGCATGCCGGTTTTTTTAGGTGCAAGAGCGACCAGAGGCTGGAATTCTGCTGTGAGTAACTCATCTTTTGATATCTCAAAGCCTGTCCATCATCTACAAGGCACAAGTCAAAGAGTGTAATGGAATAATTCCACTCGAATGGATGAGTGCAGCTTTAACAATACTCAAGAAACTCAGCAGCCTACTTAACTGGCACCACGTCTAACACCTTCAACATTCAGTGCCTCCACCACCAATTCACAGTAGCAGCAGTGTGAATATCTACAAGGGGCATTGCAGCAACTCATGAAGGCTCTTTAAACAGCATCTTTCAAACACACTACCTCTACTAGCTAGAAGGTCAAAGGCGGCGCATACATGGGAACATCACCACCTGCAAGATTTTCACCAAGCCATCCTGTCTTGGGACTATATTGCCTTTCCTTCACAGTCACTGAGTCAACATTCTGGAACCCCCTTCCTCAGCAAAACATGAACTGCAGTGGTTCAAGAAGGAGACTCGCTGCCACCTTCTCAAGAATAAATCGGAATGGACAATAAATGTTGGCCTAGCTTATGACACTCATTCCATAAATGAATGAAAAACAATTATCATGTTTTCAGACCAATAAAATTAAACCTAAAAGGGTTTGTAGAAGATTGTAATATATTAAGGTTTGCAAGTTGAGAAAATATTGCTTGTCTTTCTAATTTGAGAAAGAAAAATGAGATGTAGTACAATATAGTATTCTCTGTTTCTACTAATGCCTATATTTTCACTAAAATTAGCAAAAAATGCAAATTTGAAACACTTCCATTAGATACAGGTTTCACTTCTAAAAAGATAACAAAGTGGATGAGAAGCTCACATCTAGTTATAGTACTTTATAACCTAGCCTTTATAGCCTATTATGCTGATAGAAAAATCTTTCATGACATTGATTTAACTGAACATTTTTTCAAGTTGTAATCATTGCTTTGTTGGCTACTTTCAGGCAGAAATTACTTGCTAAGACTTTCAGTACAGAAAAACTTAAGCATTGTCACAATTTTGTTTTTTGTTTATGTTTATACCTTTGTTATGAGTTCATAAAAAGATAAACAACTAGCTTTACCAGTTGGAGATACAATATAGATTACAGTGCATAGAGGAACTATTCCAATTCAAGGCTATTAGAGGTAGCCATATGACAAAAGTTAGGTCTGTTCCTATATTCAAAGAGGGGAAATTTGTGGTTGAGTCACCTGCTAGGGACTAGCTCAGGAGTCATTTTAAGGGAGACCTAGCACTAGGTCACTTGCCCACTGTTTTTGCTAGAAAACAGGGCATGTCACCTGGGAAGGTGAAAAGCAAGATAACATTTAAGCATTTATGCTAGAAGGAAGATAAGCTCTGAATATGAATTTGAGAATGGCTAATTCGGCAAATAAGTAGAAGTACAGAGCTCTGCCCTTTAATTGGGCAACCATTTTTCCTTGTGAATTACTTTGTGAAAATTAACTTGCTACTTGAAATAATGAGAAGGTTTATAATTGTTAGAAAGTTTTTTTTATCTTTAGTCTTGAGGAATGCTTAATACCCATTCACAAAGGTCACTGCATCATCTAGGATCCCATCAGTGTTCCTTGAGAACTTAGAAGGATGGAGGTGGATTAACTTTCTAAGATTAAACCTCCCACTTATATTTTCTTGTTAGGCTTTTTCGTGAAGCAGTCTTTTTGTCTACTTGGTTCTACACATCAAAAATGTTTCTTTATCTATAGCATGGAATAGACATCTGGTCAAAACTGGCATGAAAAGGCACTCATTTGAATTGTACTGAATGGCTCTGAGATAAAGAAGGTAGCATGGGGAAGACAGTCACAAATAAAACAAGTAAAAAAGATAAGACCATGAGGACAGCAATTTGGTTATTATTGTAGGAAACTCATAATCAGGTGCTAGATTGAAACTTTTTCAGTGAAGCGTGCAGTCCCAAACAGTGTGCTACATTCCATGTACTTTGGCAAAGTGTGATCAGCTCAAAGTTATACTTCATATCAGAACAATCAACATAGAAAGGGTACAATAATATAGCAGTCTTTCAGAAGGAATTTGACTGTCAACAGTTGCAGCACTAGGCATCAAAGATAGTATCACAGGGTTACTCCTGGTTCCATGCGCTCAACTGGTTAGAGACAGAAAGGCTACAGTCGTCAAAGTTTAGGTCAAAAAGTGGTGCAGAAGTGAAAGGTTCAGATTTCCATGACATGGGCAAATTCTGTGGGAAGGTAAAAGATGTACAGAAGGGGTGGTCTTTATTTGTCCTTGCTAAGAGCAAATTTAAACATCCAAGTAAAGGGGAAAGGCAAACAAGGCTGAGTTTGTCAGGAGATCTAATGATTACTAAAGTTTGTAAGAGATTAGCTATACATGAAGGTGGTCTCAAAAGTAGTAAAGAGTGAAACAAAAATTATACAAACCAAATAACACCAGACAGGTTATGGAGAATAATAGTAAGATTTTAGAGATAAAATAAGCAGAAAAATGCATGTAGATAAAAGCATTAATGAATAAAATTAGGAAACAAGGGCAATTACAAACAAGTAGACTATGAGTTCAGCTAAGAGGCCAATGATCCAATTTCTATAGTATGGTCTGTATTTTGCAGAGCACTAGAATGTTTAATGCAATGAAAGTGGAATCTGCAGACAGTTTACAGAGAGCAGTAGAAATAAAAAAAAATTGTAAACCCATAAAAATGCATAACCAGGAAACATAAAAAAGGGCAAACTGAATTACTGCATCTAGATGACGAATTTTAAACATGCCTCTCTTAACCCAACACTCTCACTTTCAGTCTGTGTCTATTTACATAAGATAAGTGAATCTCCAGTTAATGCCCACTGCATGCATACAAATAAACATAACTAATGTTAACAATGGGTGATTGGGAGTTGGCATGGGAGTAGAATTTTGGGTGAGTGGAATTCTTGCTGGAGAGTGCTACACCAAGCAAAAGAACACTGAGATAATTGAGTGTAAAGTGATCATGGTTTTTCTGAGAGTTACAAAAGTGTAGAAGTTGAGATAGTGGATGTTGTTACAGTGGTGGAAGCAGTTGATCATTGTGTTGGAGAGGCTATAGGTTTAAAAACTCATCTTGGCATCGATCAAGAGGTAAAGGATTGGACTTGACACAATAATGGAGCAATGTCAGCATGTTGCCAGTGACAACTGAAATAAATACATAAGGAAAAGCTAAGACATAGTTTTGATCTTCCCAATTATTATCTGAATTTGATGAATATTCTCCTCCCCCCACCAAACAAAAAAAACTATGGAAAGGTGTTTAATATTAATACCTATCATTAATAGTAGCAGTAGCAACTAAGTTGATTGATAGAGCCTTAGTGTTTAGAAACATTCCACTTCAAACCTCAAAACGTGGTGAGTATACAGTGACACTTAGGGCTGAAGGATACGCAATGTGTGCATATACATTACCTAAAACAAAATGCAGCATCCAGTGCACGTTTCTTCCGTCGACTAGATTGTTGTGATTCTAGCCTATAGGTTGGTAGTAGCATGAGGAGAAGGTGTGCCGTTTTTCCATTACTTTTCATTTTTCTCATATCACCACTGGAATAGTCTCTTGGATAGTTGTCATAAATTCCTTTAAAAATAAGAACTCCAGTTAGAAAAGGTCGTAATGCATATTCCTTCCTTCAGTACATTTCATTATAGCATCAGGCCTTCTGCAAAACCAGGTCAGACATTTGACTTATTCGAAGTTAAAATTGAAACGTTTTGCCTGGTACAGATTTGATGTTCCAGTAACAAACATTTTATTTAGTGTGTTGTCCAGAATTTGCCAAAGCACGTTGAATAAATTCTGATATTCCTCACTGCCTAGTGAGAGGAAGGGCTCTGGAAAACAATAGCATTCATGTCACCTGTGCAATTAGCCCGTCCTGGATGCTAATAAAATTCAGCCTGACAGTAAAAGTCATATCAACGCAAGCAGAATGGCCCATCTGAACTGGTTAGTATCTATTTGCTCTCCTTTAATACTGAGCAGCTAAGATAACTGGGGGACATTTTAACCTGTAAGAGGGCTGCAGGTGTCAGTGTGCAAAGAACATCAAAAATGGGAATGCAGCAGGAACACACTGACTTCTGCATTTAAGTGGGGCATGGGTTTGAATGTGTAGGTATCCTTCACGGGACAAGCAGGTCTGTGATTTAAATATGCAAATGTCTGCAGCTTTAACCTGGATTCTCGCTTTAACTGCCAATGCACAGTTTTCACGGCCTATCTGAAAATCACCAGGATTAACAACTCGAGAGCACAGTTAGAGTTAACGGGACTATGGAATGGTCAGACTGGGAAGCCTTGAAATACTGAGATATGACAGTTGCTCCATTGCCTCAGTGAATGAGTCCAATATATGTTTCCTGCATGAGTTAAAAACACCATTTTTTTTTGCAACTGCACGAAAGTTCTACGGCATGTCAAATTCCAATATGTCGCTTGTGCCTTTTTTCTCTCTGCAAAGATTGAACGGAACAGACTGAGCTTTGTATATGCTTGTGGATAGGTTTGTTTTATGCAATAAAAAGAGAATTTAACCTGAGAGTTTGCTTTCTCGGATTTAGAAGTGATTCCTAATGTTTGAACGACATTTGTGCTCCCTTGGACTTGATTATCATCTAGCTGTCAACCGTCTCCACACCGCTGGAGCCGCTAATGCAGTTCGACCCTGAACCTTGTTGAGCAACAAAAGGAGAAGGAGCAGCAATGCCATCAGCAGCCTGCTGCAGATCATCTTTCTAAATAAAAACCGAAAGAACTGCGGATGTTCTAAATCAGAAACAAAAACAGAAATTGCGGGAAAAGCTCCGCAGATCTGGCAGCCTCTGCGGAGAGAAATCAAAGTTAAAGTTTCAGGTGAGGAAGGGTCACTCTCTCTTTTTCCTGTCCCTGCCTCAACCCCTGGGCTAAGACCAGTGTTAACATTACAGCTAGTTCAGCACATACCAAAGATTAAACTTGGAAGCTGCTTAGCAATTAACAGAAATATCCCTTTAAGAGTAAAATTTATCTCAGGCTAAGCCAACAAAAATCAGACACATAATCCATCGGGAACTGTAGATTTTCCACTAGATTGCCAGTCAGTTTGCTTCAGTTTGTATTTGACTAAAATGAAGAAATTTGTATCAACCAACTTGCACTAACAAAGAGTGCAAGTGGCAATGGAAGATGCAGGCCCAACAAATGCATGGTAATGAGGTGAAAAAATGTCTTGCCTCTCAAGTTCCTGCGTGTACATCTCAGATGCACTTCTTTTCATCAGAGAAGGTGGGTCTTGTACCTTATACCTCATGGATTGGAAAATCTGAGGGTACCCAGTCAGCACAGTAAAATCTGAAAAAAGGTAACTGGGCTACATTTTATTGTAGCTCATATTAGATTTTCAGGTCTGGAAGTTTCCCAACAGAAGTCCTTAATTTAATTTTATAGCTGTATTCCTGTTCCTGCCCCTGTTTGCTGGTCCTTGATGTTGTCAGTGGAATGGAACTACATCAGAGGTGTAGGTGCACCCATCTGAACATTTACCCAGACTATCTCATGCCTGGGCAGACAGCAGTGAAGAAAATCAATCCATTTGGTCCATTTGCACTGGCAGCCTTTATTTTTAAGGGGATTCATCACTCCAAGAGAGACCTTAAATGGGTAAAATCTGACATTAATAAAACAGCATGCTAAAATTTTTGAAGGCAAGAAACTCAAAATGGCACTGAACCTGAGCTAAAGGGGTCATGGCTAATTTCTCAAGCTCTCTTTTAGTCCTGCCTCAGGACTCCCGTTTAGATACTGCTTTGAAAATAACTTAATAATTGGTTACACTAATTAAGGCCACTGAATGCTTCAATTCAGGGCTCTCAGATTTTCACTTGGGTTTAAGTGTTTCTCCTGGTAACTAAAATACTTTACTTAATTGTTAGAACTTAAAAGATTCAATGTTACATTACTGTGAAATTCCATAAATATGACCTAACTAAGGTCTGTTAACTTAAGGAATCTCTGGAATGCTTACTGTTTCCAGTAGCAAGATTCATTTTTCCAGCAACTGTAATGTACGTTACTGTAGTGCTGTACTAAATGCAGTTACAGCTGCTCAAAATCCTGAATTCCAATGGCGGTCCTAGCAACGATACAGAGAAGTTAAGTCAATAAAAAGGAGTTTTAGAAAGAACTAACATAAGTCTAAAAACAGCTCAGCCCCATGATGGACATAAAGCCAAATGTTAAGAAGTCATATTACGGCTTATAGTTGATTCATTTTAGTCTAAGAATATCAAAGTACTATTCTCCAGATACTGTTTTGGCACCAGTCCACTTTTGTTACCATTTTCTCACTGCTATTAAATAGCAATTTAGATTCATTGGTTTGGCTTTGTTGGAATATTTATGTTATGAAGAACTGGACAATTATTGTTTATCAAAAGACACAAGCCATATTAAAACAACAGTAGTAAACTAACCAGTCAGACAAGTCATTCCCATTAACATGAACCTGCGACCCACTGTCACAAAATGGAAAAATATTTTCAGAGTAATTATCTATTTCTTGTTTTTAAGAAGTAGTTCTCGCTGACATTGGAGAATGAATGTCTTCATCCCAAAGCAGTTACGAGGAAAATACTTGGAGAAGTTTTAAAAATTCTTGGCTGTACAAAGGATCTGTTTTAAAATATATATTTAAGTATCGAGAGCATTTGTTTTTTATGTCAAAAAAGTCTCTCCACGGACTCTCTCTGAAGATCAGTATGTGATTTGGCAAGTTTTGGTGGCATTGTTCAAATTTGATCCTCTTTCTTTTGGAAAACTCAACAATTTTAGTGAATGTCCATATAGGACACAGTGGCTACTTTGTACAAACACCTCACAAACTAGCAAGGAGATTGGTTCATTTTGAATATATTATAACGGGTAACTATCTTCTATCTTCTTAATTACAAACTGGAGATTAGACAATTCTTTCTCAGTCCTGGTCTATCTGCTAGTGAATGATCAATCACGACATTCTGTCAGTGCAAATTGTGAATATTTTGCTGCCAAATCCATTCAAAATTACATATGCAATAAAATTATAGCAGGTAGAATTGATTTTGTTCCAATGTCATTTTAACTGATAGACTAGAATCCCTATAGTGTGGAAACAGGCCATTCAGCCCAACAAGTCAAAAACAACTCTCCAAACAGCATCCCACCAACACCTAGCCCCCTACCCTATAACCCTGCATTTCCCATGGTTAATGCATCTAACCTGGACATCCCTGAACACTACGGGTAATTTAGCATGGCCAATCCACCTAAGCTACACATCTTTGGACTGTGGGAGGAAACCGGAGCACCTGGCAGAAACCCACGCAGACACAGGGAGAATGTGCAAACTCCACACAGACAGTCGTCTGAGGATGGAATCAAACCCGGGTCCCTGGCGCTGTGAGGCAGCAGTGCTAACCACTGGGCCCTCACATGAGCCATTGTGCTATGTAATCCTAAAATTAAGACCAAAGCCAATACTATCTATTAGCAAAACTCAAAATGGCTACATTAAATGACAGATGACACAGGATCAAAGAAAACTGTACACGAAATTACAACACAGGCCTTAACCAGACAATGGAAGCTGAAACTAACAATTTCCAGAACTGAAGGAAGTGCTGTTGCCCTGGATAGATGGCATGAAATATTGTAATTTATGTGAGGTTATTTGTAAATTTTACATTATTTACCTGCAAATCTAGCTTCCAGCTCTTCACTCTTATTCGGTATAATATAATTATTTGAAGGCACGAATGTACAACATGGGCAATGTAGACTTATCTTAAATCCAAGGTTTCTGTCTGCAAAACACAAAATATTGAACAACTTAATGCACTGCATTATGCATATTTACAAAATCAAAATTGATACTGTTAAAATATACTTTGGAATAATATTACCATATAAATAAAAGTTAATACCACAACACTTTACCTCGATGGAGAAGCCATTCATTAACTGTCTCAGTGACATCAAAGGAAAGCCATTCACCTTCTGTTCTCGTTCGTACTACTTTACTGTCAATATACCGCTGGGATGGAGACGAAGGTTCTTTAGATTTTAGAATCTGAGGATAAAAATGTAAGAATGGTAAATTTTTTTCTGATAACATCCACACCAATCAAAGGTCATTCTTTTCCCTAAGAATGGGACAGATTTTTGTTATTGGTCAGAACTTTAATGCATGTACTAGTGAAGTGTCACTACATGGAATCCGGCAAATAGACAGCCTGTATTGCCTTAGTGAGTACATTGTAGAACCTCCTTCTGACAGAGTATGTTAGATGGAGCAAAGGAACTCTTTTAGGAAGCTGACTTGTGGACAGAAGGAAGTCAAAAGGAACCTTTTTGTAGAACTAAACTGAATTTATGAGGCAGCCAGTTTAAGGGATACAAGGTGAATAGGTCCTCAACTAATCTTATTTTGCCTTTGAATAACAAACTCCAAAACCATGGATAGGAAAGCAGAGTAGGGAGCGAAATTCTGAGCCAATATTGAAAAAAATTGAAATCTTATCCAAAGAATAGTTTTATCACAATGGGAAGTGGAAAACTGGAACAAGGTCTGATGTGAATATTAGAACAATTGAAATTTTAATGACTGTAATAATAGATTTTTCATTGGGTCACAGTGCTGAATGCTTTAAAGAAATTATGGAAAAATGGAAATGAGATATAGATCAGCCATGATTAAATTGAATACTCCTGTTCCTCTACCCCCATCCACTACTATCGTGTGTTACAATCTGATGGAGTAAAAACTGAGTGCTCTGACTTTATTGGTTGGATTTATTTATTTTTGCTTCAAGGTGATACACTTTCCTCAGTACATTTAAAATTCTGAAAAGCTTGACTCAGTTTAGAGTTGTAGTCATCGAGATCTACAGCAAAGAAAAAGGCCATTCAGCCTGTTGAGTCTGCACCAGTCAAACACAAGTACCTAAGTATTCTGTTCCCATTTTCCAGTATTTGGCCATGGCTTGTCTACCTTGGCAAAGCAAGGGCATATCTAAATCCTTCTTCAATGTTATGAGCGATTCTGCCTCTACTATCCTTACAGTTAGTGAGTATCAAATTCCCACCACCCATTGGGTGAAAGAAATTTTCCTCAGATTCCCTCTAAACTTCCTACCCCTTACTGTAAATCACTAATCATTGATCGATCCACCCTGGAAAACATTTCTTCCTGTCTACCTTATCTATACCTTTCACAATTGTATACATCTCAATCATGCTGTCCTCGGTCTTCTTTGCTTCAAGAAAAACAACCGTACACCATCCAATCTCTGTTCAAAATAAAAACTCTCCAGTCCAGGCAACATCCTGGTAAATCTCCTCTGCAACCTCCACCAGTGCATTCTCATCTCTCCTATGATGTGGGTTCTAGAACCACACACAATACACTAGCTGTGGCCTAGCCAATGTTTTATACAGTTTCCGCATAACCGTCATGCTCTTAAAATCTTAAAAGTTTGAAATAAATTGAATTGCGACAAGCACTTCCAACATTAAACCTGATGATGGGACGCCTGTCCTTTGCCACGGACTACAAACACAGTATAGCCATGGAGATCATACATATTTCTGAAATATTTTATTCAAGTTGTTCAGTAAATACTCAAGATATGCCAGCAAAGATCACACATATAGATACAACTGCGCATTGACAACCCTCCTACTCCACATCTTGCACATGTTGCAATTTATTCTTCAATCAGAAAAGACCTTATGTCCTTCATTGTGATTTACAAGTAATATTTGCATTTCTACAGTCTTGAGTATACAACACAAATTAAATACATTCACAGGAGACCAATCAAAATGTTGTAACCAAAGCTTTCCCTGGCTGTTGAAATCACACATAAAATAAACTTTACTGAGATATCAGTTGAATAGGCTGTTTTGTACAACCTGCTGTTAGAAAGAGTTATGAGCAATGTGTGATCCATCACCACTCATGATATATCAGGGAGTGTTACACTGAAGGAATGACACATTGAAGATGAGTACAACCCATCTCTAAGGTTTTGGAGTAGATTTGTAGCTCGGGTTGTGGGTGTTGAGGTTGGTTGGCTCGCCGAGCTGGTTTCTTGTTTCGCATGGATAAGGAGAACCACCACTTCGACTGGGACAACACCAAGATCCTGGGACAGGCTAGGCAGAGACAGGCACAAGAATTCCTAGAAGCATGGCACTCCACGAAGCATGCTATTAATAAACTCATTGAACTTGACCCTATATACATTCCACTACGAAGGAAAACCGGAAATGGGGCAATCCATCTCAATGGACCCCAGTGTTTAAAAATCAGATGGGAAAACGCACCGACGCTTCATCGGAGGCTGCACTGAGGATGTTACCAAGCACGGTAATGAAACGTCTGCGGTACAAACCAGCTCAGTGAGCCAACCAACCTCTACAACCCATCTCATCCAATTGACTATCTGTAGTCCAGCTGTACCTACTTCCAACAAATTCAATAAAAGGTTTTCATTGTTTACTGTTTGCAACAAAATTGTAAACACGTATATGAAGAATACATTTACAAATGAGTATTAACAGTAACATTTTTCCCTATCATCCTCTGCACGTTGTGCAGAGTTGATGTGCAGAGTTGAAATACTCATTGCATTTGAGGAAAAGCTACTGTTTCTGACAACTGCAAGACAGATAGCTCACTCGCTTTCTGTTTCTTCTTCTAGGCTTCTCTACTGCAGCCATTCATTTCCTGGAGAGTGTACGAGTGATAAAGCAGAACACAGCTACCAGCGTTCAGCCGGCCAGGCACGAACATGAAGGTCCAACAATATGATTGGATATATTTGATTTCGGACTGACCAGCTATTAGTGTGCAGCTGATTCTGCTGCTTTACTGGGAAGACAGAAGAGGGAGACGTAATGGATGGAATTTAATTTTCTCTGTGTGAACCCTGACGACTTTCCGCCTCAACCCCAACTAAGTCTGGGACAGGAAAGCTCGTGGACAGCTTTTCCAACTTGCTGGCATGTGGGGTCCATAAATCAACACTTAGTGTCTGATTAAGTGTCTCTTCCCACTATGACAGATTTTCAAAGGCACCCCTGTGCTTGACTGAGGGTCCCAGCGAATGGAAAGGTGAGCCCGCTGCCAATCCTATATATCTGAGACTGCCCCACTACCCTCATTCACTAGTGGCATGGGTCCATAGGCAGTCTGGGTCCTCTTCCCGAGTACACTGCCAGAAGCCATCACCATTCCCCATGATATTGCCTGCATTTGACATGTACTGACTTCTGATTCTGTCTTTTTTAGAGCCAATATCTAGCTGTGGAGTCCTTGATGCTGGAAAAGGCCTACCACTGGCCACTTAAATGCCACTTAAATTACCTGCAGGCCTTCCCAAATAGGCAGGCTCCCAGCCCCCAGGAATACTGCCCAATTAGATCAACGGTCCAATTTTTGAGGTAACTTTTGTTTTGGTTTTGCAGGAATTTTTAAAAACATAGGCATTCTTTCTCTGTATTATCATGGTGCCAACATTATTTTCAAGATAATCACAAGCTATTAAACAACAATTTATTTGAGGAAAATGGTATAACGTTTGGACAGGGGGAAAGGCACCATTTCAAGGATCTTACTCTGTCAGCAAAAAAATTTAGTTTTATTCATTCATGGGATGTGGGCATCGCTGGCTAGGCCACCATTCAGTGTGCATCCCTATTTGCCCTTGAGATTATAGTGATCAGCTGCAGTCTTGAACCACTGCAGTTCACGTGGGTTAGGTACTATTATGCAGGGGGATTCTAGGATTTTGACCTAGCAACAGTGACGGAACAGCGATATATCTCCAAGCTAGCAATGGTGTGTGGCACAGACTGGAACGTGCAGGTGGTTGTTTCCCATGCATCTGTTTTCCTTCTCCTTCATGGTGGTAGAGGTCACAGGTTTGGATGGTGCAATTGAAGGAGTATTGGTATGTCACTGCAGTGTATCTTGTAGAATGTGCACAGCACTGCCACTGCATTGGTGGTAGATGAAGTGAACAGGGTACCAATAAAGCAGGCTTTTACTTGGATGGTACTAACTTCTTGAATGCTGTTAGAGCTGCATTCATCTAGTCAAGTGGAGTACATGTCATCGCATTCATGACTTGTGCTTTGGAGATGATGGACAGTTTTTGAGGAGTCAGAAAGTGAGTTACACAGCTCACAATTCCCAGCATCTGACCTGCTCTTGTAGTGAAAATAATTATATGGCTAGTCTAGTTCAGTTTCTGACTAATGGTAACCCCCAGGCTGTTAATAGTGAGGCATTCAGTAATGGCAATGTCATTGAATATCAAGGTTGATGGTTCGATCCTCTCTTGTTGGAGATAGTCATTGCTTGGTACTTGTGAGGTATAAATGTCACTTGCCACTTATCAGCCTATGGCTGAAAGTTGTCCAGGTCTTGCTACATTTGAACATGGACTGCTTTAGGATCTGAGCAGTTGTGAATGATGCTGAACATTGTGCAATCATCACTAAACATCCCCACTTCTGACCTTATGATGAAGGGACAGTTATTGATGAAGCAGCTGAAGATGGTTGGGCCACAAGCACTACCCTGAAAACCTCCTGCAGAGGTGTCCTGGAGATGAAATGATTGACATCCAACAACAATAGCTATATCCCTTTGTACGAGGCATGACTTGAGCTGATGGGAGTTTATTTTCAGATTCCCATTAATGTCAGTTTAGCTAGGGGGCTTCTTGATGCCATGCTTGGTCGTTGCTGCCTTGATATTCCAACATTGTCTCTGGAGTCAGCTCCTTTATCCAAAGCTGGACCAAGCCTGTAATAAGGCCAGGAGCTAAACGACTCTAGTGAAATCCAAACTAAGCATCAATGAGTTGGTTACCACTCTGCAAGTGAAGCTTAACAGCACTATCAATGACCCCTTTGATCACTTTGCTAGTCATTGAGAGTAGACTAGGGCAGTAATTAGGTCAGATCTGTCCTGCTTTTGTGAACAGGGTAAATTTAAGCAATTTTTCACATTGTCAGGTCAATGCCAGTGTTGTAGCTGTACTGGAATAACTTCCCTAA